AAGGCGCTCCAAAGAGAACTGATGTCCCTCTCCCTCATGAGCGTCTCTGTTCACAACAGCTTCCGAAACAGCAGGAACAGACGGCTCTGAGCTGCTGTATGCTTTGCATACAACCTCCCTCAGCAAAGGTAGTCCAATCCCTTAGCTTCCACTTAGAACTGTACTCTACAAGAGTCTTCTACTGCTCTTTCTTCTGTAAAAGAATATGGTAAGAAGTTAATTAAGTATGTCGATTCTTGTATATAACAAAATCAACAGACCTACAAGGTCATCTTCAGGTTCAAATTTCACTGCTGAACAGGTATATTACATCACTCAATTCTAAATCACAGGTTGTCAATACACAAACATAATTGGCCAAAATCCAATTTGCTTTTTAAACCTGCAATACAGTACGTACAAGATGACCACCAAGTAAAGAGTCTGATTTTCCATTCATGGTTTCCCAAGACATCTCCCACCCCCACCCCCCAGTACAAGAATACGAAAATTTTAGAGAAAATATACTGATCTAAAGTAGATACACTGTGCCTAATGTTTTAGGCACAAAGGAAAACAGTTATCTAAAAGTCTTATATGCCAGGACTTGCTCTCCCAAATAAGCCAGGGTACATATGATTAACTTCCTTTTTTTTTAATCAGACTTTACTACTGGTATCATTACCCTTTTCTGAATTCTAATACTTTGGAAATAGTTTTCAGAACCCTGGACATAAAGGGCATGTAAAAAAAAAATCACATAATACTCCACTAAATCTTGTTTATATTTACTTCTTAAATGAAAATCAGTAAGATGGGTATTTATTCAGCTGGTTAGGTTGGGGGTATTGTTTTATGCTTTTAGTTTTTAAGAGCTATGTATAACCAAGTGATTATTCAGTAAAAACTGCTGGATTTTTCAGTCTCATGTCCACCAATGCTATTGAAGCTTGAGACCATCAAACATAGTATTTCTGAGAAGGGTGGTTTTGGCAACAAAGAAATACAGTTATAACATTCAAAAGAGCAACTATGAGTCATTGTAATGAATAGTTGAAAAACTTACACATTTTAGTATGTAACTAGACTTCAGCAATCAGTTTCTAGGTTAAGAATGTTTTCCATTCAGTCACATTTTGTTTTTAATGGACTCAGAAATTAGCTGTGACATTTTGGGGTCTCCTGAATCAGTTCGTGATCGTCTCAAAAGTGCTTTTTAAGGCCAGTTTACCATAGAGATAGCAAAGACTGTAGATTTGAAGATTGCAATGGACCAGAATTCCCTTCAGATTTGCAAATTGCTCTTGCACCCCTCAGCCCCAGCCCTTGCAGAAACAACACCCACATCTATGGTGGCACAGCAGGTGCTTCCAAAGTGTCAGACTGTGGGCATTTGCACTCCCTGAAGCATGGTCTTGTACAGGCTTGTGGATCTTACATCGCATTTCAGAACAACAGGAGTGTTTTGCATGCTTATGCACTGTCAAGATAAGAGTCCATGTCCCTTTTGCAACAAATGTGCCAAAAATGTTTGCTCACACTTCTCTCTTACATTCTCCTCTTCATCATCTATTACAACACACTTAATTCTCCTCTTTTTAGGGAGTCTCCATGAATCTGATCCGTACCTTTCAGATACAATAGCGTAAATAAGAGACAGATGCAGACAATAAGCAAGCAAAGAGGATCACGCATCAATAAAAAAACATGCTATAAAGAGACAATATACTCCTTCGGGAAGGGGGAATGCTTTTTGGCATGCATTTGTACAGCACCTAGTTCAATGGAGCCCTTTCCTAGAACACGATACAGCAATGAAGATAAGTACTTAGATTCCAAGCAAAAAATACATTTGCATACAAGTTCAAATCCTTCCAGTGCCAGACCCAGAATGGTTCCCTACGGAGTTCCAGCTTTAGGAACAATCAGATGCCTTGGAGAACTCAAAGTCACAGTGGGTATCCTCCAGAGGTCAGTATGTTGAGAGGAAACAGCCTGTAAACAACTCAGAGGAACTGGAAGACAACTGATAACCTCAGGTGAAAAAAAAGAGAGGCTGGCATCATTGAAAGATGAGGGAATAAGAGGGGTGAAAGAAAAAAAGAAATCAGAACACAGAAACAAGAGGGATTGAGAATTGCTCAGTGTCATTAGTGCATGGAAATTTGAATCTGATGCCAAGAAGAAGAGAAAGTATAGAGGTTCAAAGATCAGGGAACGATAATGAGACACTAAGAAAAATGATTAAATGCTCCCCTGTATCCTAAAGTGTCACTACTAAATTCTTCCCTTCTCCTCACCCACTATTTTTCCACTTACATATACAAATAATGTTCCTTACAGACCTCTGACCCCAGTGCCTTTTCTGCTGTGTCTTCCTACAATCCCCAGGAGCAGTCTCCTACTTCACTATGGTGAAGCTTGGGCTATGAAGCTCTGCTCTTTGACCCTCAGCTGGGGCAGAAAACCAGCAGCTCCTCCTTCCTCCAGCTGCCAAATTCCATGAGCTGCTTCTAGTGAGAGAAAGGAAGGAAAATGGCTTGTTATTTCTCCTCCCTTTTCCTTCAGCCCTGTCAGGGCAACAGATTGTCCAAGGAAAGAGAACCGATTTCCTGCCAAAGAGCCACACATTTGATCACATGTGCTTCTTTTGTGGAGATCAAGCCAGCAGATCAAGCACAGGGTTGGAAAAGGGACTCTCAATATAGAGAGCATCCTCCAAATGCAAATGCAAGCAGCACTATTTGTTGTGCACTGCACTGCTAACCACAAGCTATTACTATATTTTACTACATATTACTACATTATTACCATTAATACTACAACCTTAGACTCAGAACAGGATCATACTAGTATCCTACCGGTTTATGGATTCCAGATCAACTAGCACACTAATTGAGCCCAAAGGACTAATTTATGACAGATAGTTCCTCCTCATTAGTATCTGGCTTTGTTAAAGTAGTACCCCACAACCACAAATAAACACTGGTTCATTACAGCTTGACACCAGTGAAGCAAACCTGAGAAGAGGACGTATGACAGCGTATATACTGTGACTGTTTTATCTGCATATAGCACACCTGTATATGGCCTCAGACAAGTTTCACTGTATCTATAAACAAGCTGTATCACATAAGCGCTGTACTTTCTACTACTATATTTCAAAGCCCAGACTGTAGATCAGCATCTGCTGAACTACTCACTGTCAGGATTTCACCCCACAATCCTAAATAAAATGTTTTGGACAGGAGGACATTTGGACACTTACCCTTTAGCCAAACCATTTCAATCATTTAAAAGAGCCTAGTCTTCTGACATGTTGGTTACAACTCTGCTTTGCAGGCCATCCCCATGAGAAAAAGAGATTTTTCATGAGGATCCAGTATCAGATGATGGAAAGGCGTGGGCAGTGAGCCTAGCCATCATTCAGCTCTCGAGTTAAAGAACAGGAAATAACCAAATTGAACAACATCCAAAAATAAATAACACAGGTAATAAGTGAATAACTACTGATACTCCATGCCAAACTCAGTCAAATTATGATTGCTGAACTATGCCTCCATGCTTTAACTGGTACAAGTGTTAACAAGCACTGTACTTTTATAGTTCCTGCCATTAAAAATAAATGTATCATTTATTAACACAGCTAAAAATATTAACCACCTAAGACGTGTGGTTCAGTAAACTAAACCATCCCATCGGCAACAAGTAAGTTTCTGAAACTTTTGCCTAAACAAGGCATTTTTAATGTACATTTATAGGTATTTTTTTATTAAATGCAAGAAAGCATTAGGTGGAAGGTGACAAGCAGTCTGTGTAGTAGTTTTCTTGGAGTCTGTTTACATTACACTGTAAGACGATACAATTTCTCAACACAAATGCAGTTAGCATCATACAACTCTGCAATCCAGTTGCCATATCACAAGCCTTTTCAGACCAAGATCTTCATTAGCAATGGTGAGTGCTTAGCAGACTGGATTTTTGTTAGAAGTGAAATCACAGCAGATCGAGGAAACCCACACTTCAGCCAATCCTAAAAATGTGAAGCGTGCACAATTTCCCACACTGTTGGGCTAACCTGCCATAGCGCTGGGCTGCTGACATGACCTTAATGCCAGCTTGTTCGAGTCTTCTTAACTTTCTGATCTCTTCTGCATCTTTCCGCTTGGGTGCTGATGTTTCTTTTGCACTATGTGAAGGAGACTCGTCTATGGAGTTTCCTTCATTTTGATTCAAACCTACTTGATTTTTAAGGGAGCTGGCCTCAGGAGCCATGGAGCCCACTTTCTCCTTTTCACACAGTCCTGATGCTTCATTCTGTTCTTCTTCTATGGTTTCAGGGTGGGCTTTGCTATTGAATTATACAAGGTAGTTTAATGTATGCTGTGACTGAAACATACACACTTATTTATTATAAGCACATTTTGTTGATATCAAGATGTCAAAGGATATTCTGATGAATGATCTGGAAAGATAATTATGCTCTTTAATGGAAGTTGCTTCTTAGGCCAAATCAAAAGTGAAATATCAGTTGACAAAACCAGCATGCAGAAACACATAATCACAGCTATATAAACTGTACTGGTGTATAGAATACAACATATGAATAAATTCATTTTAAAAAAATGCAGCAAAAATATTACCTATTTTGACTGAATACATCAAACGTTACTTATAAGTATCATTTGTCAGTGAGTAACTGTCCTGAGAACTGAAACAGATCATCCAGAACATTTTTGTCCAGCCTTGGGTTTAAGTCAATGTCCATGGTACTTATATTAACCAGCATCTTGTCAAACACAAGCTATACGTTGCACTGTATGGTAAATACTGACATCAAGACAACGATTTTCCACTCACTGCTTTTCTACCACCTTTGCCAATTGTTACAAACAATTTATCGGTACCATCTCAGCAAGAAATTTGTTACAGCTTCATACGCATTATGAAAAGAATGAAAATTAGGCAAGTGTTAAAACATCATCATTGAGGAAGGGAGAAGTTGGACAGGCTGGTCTTACCTGAAAGGTCTGTCTCCTAGCGGCGAAGTCGCCGTGCTCCAGCTCTTTCGGTACTCTTCTCGCTCAGCTTTCTTTTTCCGAAGTGGAGCAGGTACATAGAAAGTCTGATTACTCTTGTTCGGGAGGTACTGGTTAAAAGGCACAGCTGATTTGGGTTCACCGTGTGAGGTCCGCCTCGCCAACATATCATCTTTTTTCACATCTGGCATCTTTCTGTGTGGCAGGTCAGTTTCCGAGTCACTTCCTCTCCCTAGTGAGGAAGGAGAAAAAAAATCCCTTTTCTTTTCATTTTCATCCAGTTATTTTTTTAAATTATGAATCGGAGAAGACACCACTAAAAAATTACATTTAGCATGCAAACACCAAAAAATGAGGCCGCTTTTACCTGTATTTATATTTTAAAATCAGTCACTGAAAGTAGTAGCCATAATATCTACACAGACAGTATGCATCTTTTTCCATCAACCCTTATTTTCTACCCCTGAAAAACTCATCTTCAGCTACAGGGCACATCAAAAAACTCAGGGTCAGATTAAACCAGACTTGTCAGTCACACAGGACAGCTACAGAAGCTTACCTGACTAAAGCCCAAATGACTTCTAGTTGTTTTATTTTGGACTAAGCTTCCTGATATTTACAACCCATTTAAAACACAGAAACTTAGGCAAGACTTTTCCAACTTGAAAACAAAACTCCCAAATGGTAGGACAAATACCTTAAAGAGCATTTGCAGTGGAACTGCCTTCATAGCCATTTTGGAAGCCACTTCATAGACATTCACTAGATTTCCTGCACCATCACAAGCCTTTTTAAGTAATTCACAAAGCAGCTATGTAAATAGTTCTCTCCCAGCAGTGTAACATCACCACAGGCCCTGGTTTGATGAGTGAAACGGAGCATATTCAGCCATTTCTCCCACCAGCATTCAAATCTTCTCCAAGCTTTGAGGCGTTGGATGTCTCCGGCCCTTGGCCCCTTTACAACACTTGCATATGCAATAGCTGTTCCCCTTTTTGGGGCAAGGGGAAGCCACCCAGGTTGTGTCCTCTTGCTAATTCACCACACTAGTAAATTACTAGCTAATTCATTGAGCTACCTAAGGAACAACTGAAAACAATGAAGTCATAAAAATCACAAGTAGCTTGTGTATAATTCAAAGTGGGGGAAGGAAAAGAGGTCTAAATATGCTAGGAATGTTATTTGCAAAGAGCTTTTGCAACAGATTAAGTTATTCAATGTTTGCTTGGAGAGAGCCGAAGAAGAGTGAAAGGGAACAGTAAGAAAAGACAAGACACAATGGAAATGAGCTAGTTAGACAAAAATCATAATGCGCTTTTTGCCACAAATCTTTTGCTTGAACAATTTTGGTTAAGAGCATAGGATAACCAGCACCATGACTGGTAACGTAAGTATGTCCAAACAAAAAGTGGAGACACAGCCACAGAATCATGGGTGTCTGAGGATAGCTGAAGTTTGAAGAGCTATAGTATCATTAGACTGAGCAGGGCCACAGAGGAGCTAAAAAAAAATGAAAAGATCCCTTACTGTTATTTGCTATTCTGTTTACTCTTGACTTTGTTCTGGTGTTTATTTTTTTATCACATGAAAACCAGTCTTGAACTGGCAGACAGAAATGCTGGAATAGATAACCACAGTAGCAGAGGAAATAGAACAGATTCCTCTCCCTCATTAGTGATGTGCCTACCAGCATCCCCCAGTTGAGTACTTCAAAGACAAACAGCTTCTTTAATTATTCATATTTTACTCGTGAAATTAATTTCACCTCAAATTTGAAAAAAAAAAAAAAAAAAAAAAAAAAGCTCTTGAAGCCAAAGCACCGAATGGAAGATGCAGCTGTGCTCTACATTTATAACCTTAACTTTGTTGTTCTGCGTTTCCAAGTAGAAGCAGCAGCAGCCAGTTTCCACAACCCGTAACAAGCAGTTATACACCACAGACACACACAGATCCTTCATACAAGCATCCATGCACAACTGCCAGCCAAGCAGAGGACTTATTCATTCCTGAGCACATTAGCAACTCCACAGGCAGGTCAGTCTGCCATTCTACTGTGTCTTAAACAAACTGTTCTGCTCAACCATTGGTTGTGTTTGCTTTTGCCAAGGGACAGGGTCTGCACAGGACACCAGAGCAGTTCCTAAACAGTGGGGCTAATCGCAGGTGGCATTTGTGAAGGTAATATTACTTACCGCTTCCACCTAAACTAATCATCACCTTAGGATCACTTAAATGATCTCCATTCATTAATTTTTTTTTTTCTAGGAGTGGAAGGAATCATAGTTTTATTTTGTGATCATATTATTGGGTTTGTAAAGCTCCTATCTGAATAGAGAGAAGTAACGCAAGCAGAACCTTTCCCTCCATCCAGCTTTGCATATACACTATTTCTATCAAAAACTACATGCAGCTGACTGAAACACTGGCCGGCTGGGGCCACAGGAAGAGGTTCGACAGAAGAGAGGTCAGCCAAGCTACGCCTCACCTGCAACTCTTGGAGGAGACAGCTGTGAAGTTATGGCAGCAGCAAGCAGGGAAAATGGGACATATTAGAAAGGGCCGGCTGGACAAGTCATACATGTGCACACAGCATCTGCATGCACTCTGGGTCTGGATATCATTAAAGATTAATGTTTAAGAAAAGGCTCTGTATGCTTGCATCTTATTTTGTGTTTGTTATGGACACAAGAATGTGACAAGATAGTATGTCTTAGCTGTGGCAAACAACCAACCACAAAACCTTACTAATACCTGCTAATACAGCAGAAGTTGATAGGAAGCAGCTACAGGATATATGTAACTGGCTGCCCACCAGCTCCAAGTAGGCAGGGACACTGGACACTCCTTGAGCATCCAGGATGGAGCAACACTTCTTGATTAAGACATGTGACGTGTTCCTATTTGCCAACACCACACTTTTGTCTCATTTGGGAAGGCAGAAAAATGTGTTGTAATGTGGAGATTGTGCTCTGTTCAGTGTCTGAGGGGGCATGAGGCTCTTTCCGGGAAACAGCCCCAGCACCACAGGCCACTTAGAACAGCAGAGCAGATCTTAGCCCTGCTTTCCCCACAGCTCTTTCATAACTCAGCTGTGATACCAGCTCTCCCTGCCAGCTCTTCAGTTTTAAGGAGTTCCCCATCACCTCAGGAAATCTCGCATGTGTCCGGTTATGATTAGCACCAGTTTCTTTCACGCTGCCAAAAGCAGTATGAACATCTGGTTCCTACCAAAAAAGTCTTTCTGCCCTTCCTTTTTGTATTAAATAAATAACATTACTAAGGAGAATTGATTCATGTGTGGAACATCATCTGATGATGAAGTTTGACTGATTCATCCATTCATCGGGAATGTAACCGCACAGTGGGAGCCTCAATCAAGCTTCCTTTTATTCTGAACCAGAATCCTGCTCACAACAGGTAACCTAAGTGCATGCTCCATACCTATCCCTAGCAAATCCTTCCTCATCCAGCACGCTGTATTAACAAGCCTCTGGAAGCCTCTGGGAATCAGACAAGAAAGGCAGAGAAGCAGCACCCTTCTGTAAGCCTAGAGCTGCACATCCTCACTCAAAGGTGTACAAAGATGGCCACAGGTCTGATACTGGGAACTATTAATTTACTCAGTTTTCTGAATACCATGAAAACAAATACGACATTTGGTAAAATGTTGTACATCAGACTTCAAAACTCTGTCAAGCATCAGACGTTTCCAAGATATTTCTATGTCATTTATCTGCCCAGGGTTTACTTAGGCAAGTATTTTATTCACTTCAATATTTCCCTTGTTCCTGTGCTTTTATTTCTTGCTCCAGCCTAGTTCATAAGTTAAAATGAGTCTGCATAACATCCTCTTACACCGTAACCCAGAAAAGCACTCTTCCATCATAAAATTACACTGCAATGATGTAACTCATTTTCCAACGCTATGCTATCCTAACTGAGACAGACTTCAAGTAAGTTGTTGGCAAAGTCATCTAAACCTCAGGGAGCACAAATCAGCATTCACAGAGAAATTCTCCCACCAGATTAGCACGATTCAGAGGCTGTGTCCAGCTTCTGAATGGCGCATTTACTTCAGAAACATTACTTATATGTCACAAGGTTATCCATGTGCCACAATGACCGGTACTTACCATCGCTGCTCCCTCTGAGCACTACATCTGGAGATGGTGTCTGCTGCGAGCGGGAGCCAAAGGAGTCCAGACTGTCAAAGGAATCATCTCTGCCGTGGCGAGGTGGGGAGAGGGAATCGCTGCGTTCAGAGTCCCAGCAGTCTATATAGCCACTGTCACGAATGCTGCGCTTTGGGCTCTCAATATCCTCCGTTTCCTACAGGGAAGTACAGCAGGTACTTCTTCACAAAGAAACCACCGACATGCCCATGAGATCCATTACACATCAACCAGCAAAGCATCCTCCCAAATACTAAAAATCTCCTCCCCAAAAAACGGTTTCCTTATTTTCTGCCCCTTCTCCCCTTCAAGACAAATGTGCAGGCTTGCAACAAACCCCAATTTTATGCTGATTAAGAGGAAACCCCGCTCATTAGATTAGTACGATGAACTGAGAAAAAGTTGCAACAGGCAAGTTAATAAACCGATCAAAACTGAAAGTAACCTGAAACTTGACTTGTCGTCCATAGTCCATAGCACAGGCAAAGGCACTACAATTTTAACATCGTGCCTGCATCAGGTTTAAGTCTGCTGCTTTCCAAAAGATCTCCCCCCTCCCCTTGCCCATCTATTGTAACTGGCCGGGACACCAGCAGACAGCATTTGTTGTTGCTGCTTCAGCTCGGCAAAATAATGAAGCAGTGTGCCCCAGCCTCCCTCTACCTTGAAGAGAAATTCCTGTTATGAAAGAGGGATGTCTTTCTGAAGCAATCAGCAATGAAAAATATGCAAAATGCTTTTCCTGATGCCTCAGAAGAATTCAGTTGTGCTCTTTACTCTTTGCCAGCTCCTGGCTCTGGGGGATATGAAAGCACTTGTAGCTGACCCACATGTTCAGAGCAGGGAGAACAATGGTTGTCTTTGACAGCCCTGTGATTATAAATTCTTTCCAGTGCAAGCAGCACATACTAAAACACTGAAACTCCAGCAGAGGAAAAGGTCAATAGAAGCCATCCTCACCCTTGCATTATAATAAATTCCTTGTTTTAGACAGTGTCTTAACATTAATTACAATCGCACAGGCTTAGAAAAAACAAAAATAAACTACGTTTATTCAAAGATAAATCTGTTTTTTTCTCCCCAGACAGTAAGTAAAGTCAGAGATGTGGGTGCCATTAACAGACTGACATTTTGTGACCCAAAGAGACTGGAATGTGATTTTTTTTTTCTTTCTTTTTCCCCCCCCCGAAGCATTTGAATATTAATTCCTAATTAAGAAGCACCCCCTGCTTACCACTAGCTGGAGCACAATGGCTATATGTTGAGCACAGGTCCCACTGTCCCTTACCGCTAAGGTTTTACCTGTTACTAGTAGTGCCAATGAGAAGATCAATCAAGAACAACACAGTACGCTATGGCAGGCCACCTCCCCACAAGAAAGGAGAAGTGATGGAGAGAGGAGAGTCCTGCAGTACACACCAAAGCTTCTATGCTGGAAAAGAGGGAGGCTCGAAGCAAGGCTGAGAGATCAGGCCCAACGTCCTGCAGACTTTTCAGGAAGAAGGCTTAATTAGTGCCACTCACTATTACTCTGCCAAAATACCACATTAAGGGCAGCAGCAAAGGTCACCTAAGGCCAAGCTAAACTGTGGTAATGTCATTAAGTAACCTCACTGCAAATTGAAGTGAAAGTATTTTCTAAAAACAAATAAAATACATCTAACGAAGTCGTAATTGAATCCTATGTAATTTCCTCCCCCAGTCCTGCTTAGTAAACTAAAATACTGATAGAAACACTAGACAACAAAGATCCGTCTCCCTGAAATCTGCATGAGTTACACACTTCCAAGAACAAATCTAAAAATCCTACCAAAATCCCGTTTGTGACACGATCCAAAAATCTTTCTAAAAATCCAAATTCCCTAAATCCCCTCATCCCTTCATACCAATCAGCTATTCTCAATCCTCAGGCACACTTCCATTTTCCTAAATTACTGTATTTGAATGACACAGAACTGCTCAGCAGTTACAGGGACTTAAACTTGGGCAAGGAGCCCCATCCTGCATTCACTATCTCCCAGAGTTTGAAAACAGTCCAATTGTGAACTAATGAGTTCTGCAGACACTACTTTCAAAGGCCTGTTGATGTTAATTTTGCATGCCGCTCACCAGGAATTAGGAGGCAGGCACCAGGATGGGATCTTCGACTTCTGTAAACATGTTCTTTACAGCCTTCCCCTTGGCAAAGCTACTCTTCCAGCCCAGCACCGTCTCACAGACGGGTACTTGTCCTGCCTTGAACAAATGTCATCTCTCAAATGTTATCAGTGGGAAAGTGGTTATCTGCACGACTGATAACACCGTAACATGACACACAACAGCACATTAGTCTTTCATACTATCTAATTAAAAACACAGTATGTCACTGAGTGGTAGTAAAAGTGTGATTGCCAAATATAAGATGCGTTTCTCCAGGAAGTTCCACCCACTAAATATAATCAAAAAGTCATGGATGTTTTGTCATTGGGAACTTCTAGCTTAAAAGTAAAGAAGAATGCGTATCCAAATAGTTAATGAAATTAAAAACAGAGTAGCATGAATAAAATTAGAAATGAATAGCCCTTTCAGTATGAGAAGTAGAAAAAGATGAGTCCGAGACAACTTACATCCAAGCTGCCTTTTGATTTGCTTATTAAAAAAGGAGGGCAGAGAGGATTTATAACAGAAGAACTAAACCAGACTGAATTTATGGTTGATTTAATTATTAAATTCTGTGGAAAAAAATGCCAGTAGAGAATGTGATAAAGTGTCTTTTCATCACTCGAGCACAGCTATAAAGAACATCAGAGTGTTGCACAGCATGATTAACATGTTCTATTTTACAACCAAATCCTCTTCAAATGCAGTAACAGACAAGCCCACAATTGCCAATGGGAAATACTGCAGGGGTACAGGAGTAGGGAGGTGACCTTAAAATAAGTCGCCAGCAGCCTTCGTACCAGCACCACCTCAACAAGACTTTTCAGGACTGCAAAGCGCTCTGTTTTTACGTTAAAGGAATATATAGCTTTCAGCTTTTATGAGATCTCTACTCTGCTCCCAGCTCCAACATCTGCAACAAATCAAGTCCCAGCCTCTTGCTTTTGTCCTCGACCTGCAGTGTTCTGCACTGCCCAGCCAGGCGCTCCACAGTCATCAGCTCCCCACAGAACACTGCCTTTTGGCCCCAGCCTACTTTATCCCACAAAAGGGCTCAAGATAGACCTCCAAAATGCTCTGATAATTAGTTTGATGGGTAAACATCACCTGGAAAAAGAAGAGCCTCGTGCTGTGAGATTAAACATTAAAAAATAAACCATGATACCATGCAGCACTAACATGACAGCAACCTGCACTTTGGGAATTTTTCTGCACTAGCTCCCTTGTCTGCCTTTGTTTCACCTTTCAGACTCTTTGCAGTGGGGACTGCTCCTTCCCCATGTCTTCTGTTTGGCAATAATTCAAGTATTAACTTCATTTCCTTACTGCTTAGGCTCAGTCATAGCACTCATGAGTGGCAAAGTCCCGCGTGATTAGCACAGGTCATTTCAAATGAAGACCAAAATAAACCGCTACAGAGAAGCAGGATGTTCTCTTTCCTCTCCATTTCCACCTGCTTGTTCACAGGAACTGGGCTCACAAACAGGGATTTTACCCATCTAGTTAAGGCTCTCTGCTCACACCAGGGTGTAGGAACTGCTATTAGTCAGCCAAGTATTTCCTCTCCGGTGGCAATCCGGTGCTGGCCCTCTGAGATCCCAGAATGAAGCGCTGCAGCTGGCGCAGATGCAGTAGCACAGATCTCAAGGAGAGTAAAGAGTCTCCCATGGTCCCCAAACCCTACTGCCTGTGGTGACTTGGTTGTTAAATGAGATGGGGAGGGAGTAGCAGGCACGGAGCTCTCTGTGGGCTGGAGAATATACCTGCACGGCCTTTCCTGAGCAGTATGTCCGACACATGCGATGCTAGCACCAGGTGCTGACGTCTTCTTACATGCCTGCTCCTTGCCCCTTCCATCCCCAGTAAACACATGCTTGGATATCAACGCTAACCATTACTGAGGTTAAGTGTCTCATGTTGAGGTTCAGGGCATGCTGGACCGTTCAACCAGAAGTTCCCAAACCACCCTACAGCAATCACAACTTTTCCTTTCCAGCAGAGCTCAGCTCATCATAAACCACCAAATATGATTTCAGCGAGAATTTAGAGCTTGGCAAAACACAGATTCATCATAACTATGCCCTTGGTGAAACACAATCTCCTCCTTCTACCCTTCAGCTTTATTTAGATACTTTGGTTTGATGTTTTATGTTGCAATTTAAAAACAGAAGAGCTGCCCATGAGACTGAATGTTTTAAAGAAGAAAAATCTCTGCTCCTGTGAGTCCTACCACCTTAGTTTTGAGTCTCAGCTCTTCTAGCTGAAACTGTGTCATAAATGAAAATAATTCAGACCAAAATATATGAAGATGACAGAGCCACGTGACAATTCTAAAGCCCTGTTTTGACATCATGTGCTGCATCACTGATATCACAACAAAGCCGGCTGCTTTGATTCACGTTCATACCAGAAACATTTTCGAAGAAGGTAGGGGTTTACCAAGTAATTTGTACTCCAGACCCCCACTTCTCTCATATTTAGCAACAAACAGGTTATTTATGGGAGTAATAATTCGAATGAAATTTCCATTCCCAAAACATAACAAAAAGATACCTTTCTCATTTGTGCCAGCAAACCTTCAAACTCCTTCAGGTTCAGGGTTGATCCACTATACGACGTGCAGCTGTTTGCCGCTTTCCCTAGCCAATAAATGGTGACTAATACCTGCAGAAGTTAATAAGAATTAATTGAAGCCATCTACACACTTAGCTAAATTTACATCCCTTCAGCATCTCTCATTTATTCTAAACTGCACAGCAGCACAAGATTTTGTTATAAATCGGAATTGAAAGGGAAGTGTCTGTCAATGGTTAAAAATAAATATGGTGGGTAACTATGAAAATGTAAACAGTCCTACAGAATACATAAGTTAACACATTATCTTCCTGGTATTTTTATAAGAAAATGAAACTGTCATGTCTGCCTAGAAAATAAACACCAAAAATAAATCTGAATAGAAAAAACAGACAAGATATTTGAAACTGTACAGAAGACACACTTATAAATGTATCTGTTTGTAAATCCAATAGGAAAAAAGTCCCTAAAAAGTACTAATACTAGTGGTCACTAATTAAAACCGTTAACACTAATGGAATAAATAAAACATCTGAAATGTGTGCCTGCCTATTTCAAGGACAGAAAAGGTAGTTCCATTTTTAATCATCTTAAAGTAATTAACCAGACAACACAGGAACATTTACTTCCAGGCTTCTGCTAGCTTAAGAAATGCTTAGCCCAAGATTAATCAAAAGCCATGAGCATCTGGTTGTTTCTATCAGACTAAAGCGGAAAGAGTTAGTGATTTCATTCAAGTTCTGACTTGATGCCTCTCTGTAACTCAAGTCACTTCAAAACTAGTGTGGAAAAAAAGCCAAGAATTGCTCTTGCAAATGTTTATATACCCTCTTACTCCTTTAGGCAGCAAAGAAATCTGATCTGACACTGCTGGTGTTGCACTTGTTTTAGGAAAGGAGAAATTAAGATGCTCAGGATGGTCAAATCCAACACCTCCAAAATTGGTGATATTTATATCATGCAGGGAAAGCAAACAGTCCTCTGCAGTCACATATGTCTCCACTTAAAGCAATGTCTTTAATGGTACCTGTGCAGCAGCAATTTGGACTGGAAACTGATCATCAAAGGCAATTCATTTCAATGTTTTGCACTGGTTAAAAATGCCAAACCATCACCTCAGAACTTAGGCCTTTTTCTCATCTAATGCTCATTATTTTGGCATATTCCGTGACACTGCAAAGTATTTAACTGCAGAAAAAACAGGAAGTATTTTCATGTGGAAAAGATGTGCAACCAATAACAAATAATAGTTGACATTAGCTGTCTTTTTCAAAAAAGTTAAATAAACTGAAATATAGTAGTTAATGTTTTGATGGGACAGGGCCATAGAATTCATACTATATAGTGAATTAAAGAAAATAGGACTAGGAGAAATCCCACGGAGGCACTGGGGACAGACATCTCTGTCAGACTCTTCTTTCCTAAAACATCTACCCACATTCCTTCGGTGCCTCCTCCTCAGTCACATATGCTAGACTTCTGATTAGCCTTTTCCTATCAACTTTCTCTAACATCCCCATTTTTCATTTAAGTGTGATGTCCAAAATCACACACAGCACTCCAGCTGAGGCCCTGCCAGAAAAGGATACAGCATGTGTCATATAGACCCCCTGTTTAAAAACAACTGTGGTGCATAATGTAAAATATATTTTATATATATAGTTTATATTTTCCTTTAGTTTATAAATAATATACATGCCATAACATAACTGAATAACATTTTTAATAAAGTTCAGAAATTTTCACCTTGTTTTTAAAATTACATCGAAATTGATACTACTGTGCTGAGGGAAAGGAGGTGCTTTCGCCAATACTGATTTTTTTGTCTTGAAACAACCTTTACCTGAGCTGTTTTCCTTCAACCAGCACTACTCAACAAATTTATGTAAAAAATTCTTACAGTACATGTTCTCAAGTTAAGTGAAAACACTTGGAAATACAGTATTCCTAGCAACCAGGAAACTGTCCAATTCATTTTGCCATTCAGTTCTCTGATGAAGGTTGTGGTATTTTTATTTATTTCTGCTAGCATTTGATCACTTTCTCTCTTCTTCCTTTCTTCATCCACTTTTTTTTCCCAAATAATGTCACATTTGCAAGCAATTCTGACTGGCTGCCGGCCGAGGTTGCAGGATCATGCACCTGGAAAGCATATATTGCCTACAAGCACACTGTGGAGGATACTTTTGAAACTTTACCTTTAAACCAATACATCTGTACAAAGATATTTAGCCAGTGCCCACAAGAGTGCTAATATGCCAAAGCTGAACTCCTCCCCTACAACTTTGTGTGCTGGATGCAGAAGATATTACTCTAATGATGATGGGAAAGACAGGATGAAATAATCTGGGGGGGGAGGTGTTGGTGGTTTTGGTGGTTTTTATTATTTTTTACCTGCAGTCATGATTACTGGCTTGCAAAGTTATTAGGAAAAGTCTTGGCATTTCCTAGCCATTTACAGGGACGTGATCCAAATATAAAATTGAATTTATAGCAGTTTACAGCTGACTAAGGACAGACGGCTTGCTAGGCTTTAGGAGAGTAACTAACTACGAGACCAGCAAAGTTTAGCCATTTTCTTTTCCACTTAACAATTACAGGATCCATTACCATTGCCATTAGTTTAAATTTACAAGAAATTGAAGTTAAATGGAATTAGCCTTTCTGGGGAAACACTCATTTATTTGGAAGAACAATGAGAAAGCTAGCAAATCTGATAGTAAAGACTTGCATCCAGATCTAAAGATCATTTTAATTCATTTTAAGTGCTTTGTGCAAACATACTTTATGCCTCTATATTTATGAAAGGCTACAAAAGCGTAACTTCGTGGTCGAGTCAGACCGTTCCCAGTGAAAACCACAATGGACAGCACAGAGATCACATTATTTATCCCTTATCTAAGAAAAGACAAACATTCTTCATATTATTTCTGTTGTAAGGCTCCTCTGCCATACCAGCTCTACCTAAATTTCCAGTAGAACCTGGTTAGGTTTGTACACAGAACAACTTTTCAGCAATACTCATCTGTACTCAGTTTTTACTGACATAATTGCTGCTCAGGCCAAATACAGGATTAACCAGACAAATGACAAAAAAAAACCCCAAAACCGCAACCCCCCAAAAAACCCTCCAAGTGATGTACTCACATTTTTCAGCTTCCTACTATAGTCAATGTTCCTGGTTGCACACACACACACACAAAAAAAAAAGAGGAAAAAAAAATTAATCAGAAAGCAGGCACACTTTCCAAGAGCGTGTATGCAGCAGATCACATTTTCCCTAACAAAAGCCTGCAGAACACTTCTGCTGGCTGGAAAGAGATGAAAGCTAAGAAGATGTAGTTCACACATTCATTTATTCATAACGTGGGAGTATTTTGTCACCATTACTTCAATCATTAAATTAGAATTCTGGAGGTACAAAAAGAAAATGCATTTATAACGGTCCCCCAGTAAAGTAGGACAGTGCCGAAAATATTTCCCTGAAACAGAGTTGCCGATTTCTTCAAAAAAGACGACGAAAGTCCTCACTACTAAAATGCGTCCTGCAGTAATCCAACAGTCAGGTTCTGCTCTGTGATAAATCATGCAACCCATACAGATTCTGGAAGCAACTGAACATGCATAGGAGCCTGAGGAAATCATCACCAAACATTAAGGAAATAGAGCAGGTGCTTCTGTGGAAACAAGCATCACAAAGAACAAAGTAGATGGGTGAAGTAACAAAGATCCTGCCAGTTACAACAGAGCCTGCTGTGGAAAACATATTTATTTTTTGAATGTATACTCAAGCACTCAGACTGAACATTGGCATCCTTCTCAATTTTTTTTTCACCAACGTTCATCAAAGGGTGGAAGTTTTATGTGAGAAACAACAAAGCACTAAGTTTGTGCAAACATAAACAGCATTTCAAAATTCAGCAAAGAAACCACTAAAAAAGAATGGAGGAAATGTGCATCACATTCAGGTGTTGAAAAATAAATAAGATTACTTCAGATTTAGAAAAGATTGTCTCCCAATTATTTATAATGGAATTGCCTTCTACTATAACAGTAAGTTCACTCCAGCATTAAAGGTTACCTGACCAAAACAAAAATAAATGTACTTAAATCTGTGAGAACAACAAAAAGCCCAAATACAGGCAATGCTAAAACAAAGTATTTTTGATAACATCTTTTTTAAGCCAGAATTTTATCCACCAATACCCCCATACTAAGAAAAAGAAAACAGTCCTATTTTTTTTCTTAACAAAACAGCAGTGGAAAAGAGTCTTGTTTAACAAGTCAGGAAGAAATTCTTTACAGCATTAGCTCATAACTTTTATAAGCTGAATGATCCAAAAAAAATAGATCTAATGCATACCTCAACTAACATCTATATGAAAAAAACTGGTTAAAAATATCATTATCTTAATCATGTGCAATAATGTCATATTCATCCTTTACCACAGAACAAATACGACTTTTACCATGTTTAAAAAATAATCCAAAAGTCTTCAAAGAGGGGGAAAAAAAAAAATCACCTTCATGCTTTGGGAACTAGCTAGCAGAAGACAGTCTCGAACATAGTTCTCTACAACAGTCATGGACTTGGCTCGTACACCTCAACTCAGTTACTCAGCGTGAACTTGGACAGCGCTAGGAAAACATTTGGCTCATTTCCACAGCTGCTTTCTCTGAAGAGTTGATGGGGGAAAAAAAATCCATGCCAGTGAGACACTTCACATCTATCTAGCACCATATTCAGCAGAAAGCCAAGCCAGCTCCGCAGAGTTTATTACTCCTGGTTTAACTTGCTTATGTGCTGGACAGCTCTCCTTGGAGCTCCAGGCTCGTCCCAGCCTTCACCCTGCCTCCTCCGAGATACTCCACCATCCTCAACCCAAAAAGATCAAGCTTCTCATCAGAAAGACTCTTTCTCTCTGGTTTCATATGGAGATGAGGGTTTTATATGGAGATTAGGGATTGTTTTGCGACTCTCTTCAGCCACTCATTGTCATGATTTTACAGGACGTCGTAAGAACCTCTTTCATTGCAATATTACCAGATTTAGAAGAAATAAGTTACATGGCCCCCTCTCACTGGTATGTACAGGCGAGAAGAACCTCATATTAGAGCCAGAAACTTGGAAAGAAGCAAAAAGTGGGATACTATTACTTAAAACAAGGCAAGTGCCCAATTCGATTTTCAGAACCTTTGAATTTTCCCAGACAATGCCTGAACACCATGAAAACTTGCCCAACTTCCACTGCCAGAAGGGAAAAAAAATAGAATGCCGCTGAAATTTAGTAAATTGTTTCCATATACTTTTCTAAAATGGGTATGTCTGACCAGGATTTCATTAGTGATCTTTTTGGCCAAATGAAACAAGGCCATTCAATGAACTCAGCAGCATTTGCTTGTCTGTAGAGTAATAACTTCTTAATATTACGCATGATAGACCCAAAATTTTCAAGAAAACTTCTAAATAACAGCAATTACAAATTTTGTTGATTTCATGAAAGTGTGGGGTGCTCTTGCTCTTGGTGGGTAGGGAGCTTGATTACCATTAATATAAACAAGAGAAAAATACAGTCTGATTGCTTCTGTTCCTCTAGTCAATGATGAAAAAAATCTTCCCTGAAAGGGACAACAGTTTCTATTTATGACTTCAATCTCTGACTATATGGACTTTTATTCAAGCCTGCTCTGTGTGACCTTAGGCAAGTCAGTAATTCTTTCTGTGCCAGTTTCACATCTATATTTTTAATCACTTTGTGGGGTGAAATGCTGAAAATACAAGCATTGGAGTCTAAGCACCTAGTACTCTTTGCAGTGAGGGATGTGCACATACCAGGGCTAAAAGGCTGCCAATTAAAAGAAGATTTAAAAAAAAAAAAAAAAATCACTTCGCCCCCACAAAAAAACATTAATTAGTTATTAGGAAGGAGAACCTCTTAATATGTGTGTGGTAGTAGGCACGTGACTTTGGTGAAAAAGTATCTAAACTGTGGCATTTCTAGTCCACACAGTTCACACACAGACATTCTCAGCCCAAGTATCATGTCCCAGCCTATAGTTCCTGTTAGGAAATAAACAGACTGTGCTCATGTCTGCACCTCGTAGAGTTTGAGAAGCCTATAAATGTCCTATAATGCATCTTCAATACAGTTTAATCTGAAATAACAGAGCTGTGATTTTTCTCCCCAGCCTACATAGTTCATTAGTTGGACAGACAAAAAAGAATGCCATCAATTTAGACTCAGGAAAACCCCTAAATCCCACAGAATCTCATTGCCTAACTAAAACAGTATTTTAAAAGAGCTGTGGTTGATCTCTCTGGGAAAAATAACAGCCCTTAGAGAAAGCCTGTTGAAGAGAACAATGTATTCTTCCCAGCGCTGAAGGTTTCTCAAACCTCAGCTTCCTATTTGCTTTATACAAATGACAGTATGAGCAGATGAGCATAGCCTCTTGCTCATCCTTAAATATTTACTATTGCATCACATGCATCTTGAGGTTGTAACATATTAATTGCAAACTGCTGTTGTACTTACTTGATGGTCACTCTGTTTGATGTGTCCTGCAGATCACCAGGATCAAAAAGCTGAGATTCTTTAAGTCCCAGCTCTTTGCAGCCTCTTAAGAATAAGATGATATTATCCTGAAAAGAGAAAAAACAAACAAAAAAAAGCTTTTAACTCTTCATCACTGAAAAAAAATAACCCTACGGAACCAATCTCTTCCAAACAGCTCACAAATAGTCATATCATCAGCTAGATGAAGAACCAAAGACATTTCCAGTCACATAATTTAAGAAGTCAGTATAGGTTTTGTTTGAAAACCAGATAAATATGAAAATTTTTTTTTTAAAGATATGTAACTGCAACAAGCTTGTTGACTTCTCTCTTTCCAACCCCAAATGTTAGCAACTTCTTTAACTGAGAAAACCCTGCTAACTTCCCCACCTACTGCTTGTAGGCTGCCAACACAACTTCAGCACGTTACAGGGCAGAAAAGGCTGGATTTCTGAAGGGATCCGTAAGGGTAGATATGAAACAGCCCACCACCATTTAAACAAGCAGTTTGTTCAGAAAACATTTTGCATGTCGGTACAAACAAGCCAGTTACTCTTAGTTAACACAACTGGTCTCTTGCCTCTCCAACCTTAAACAGCCAGAAGCCACTGGGAAAAGAGGTAGGTGCCTTCTCCACAAATAAAATGCTTGAAGCTACACTTTATGTGACCACTGTCTGGAAGAAGAGACAACACCAATTTTGTAACACTTTTCATGGAGGATTTACACTTTTCAGAGTGTAAAAAAAAAAAAAAAATCAGTAACTAAGAGAAATTAAGCACAAACTGATACAAGCCTCTTTCAAACCAAACACGAGTGATGACACATGGGTATGCACCGAGGGGATTATATCTGTATGTGTGCACAGACATTTAATATATGTTTTATACTTACTTACACATATGCATGGACACCACCCCCCTTTTACAGAACCAGTGAATCTTTCTTATGCAGATAAATCTTGAAGGTCAGTAGAGAACAAGTTTTCAGATATACACATTGCTAGATCAGCAACTGCAACGGCAGAGGTGTGGACAAGCAAAGATATTACGTACAGCTTGATATTCTCTGAGGCCTCTCATCTCAAACCTCCCACTGGAGGTAAGCTGCCACATGAAGAGTTAGAGAGGGGCAGAGCCACAGCGTGTGGCAGAGACCTTCCATTTTGGTAAAAACTGGGAAGCAGAGGAGCCTGGGCAGCATCAGCTCTTGCCCACCCTGGGTGAGAGAGCAGGACTGGCGAGGAGGGCTCTCCCCACCTCTGCTCCCAGGCCTTTGTTTGGGTGGCACGGCCATAGCTCGGCGAGAGCAGCCCTGTTTATTCTGCCGGAGCGCAGCGATCAGCATGCTAATCGCTGCGGCTCTCTGCATGCCAACGCTCTCGCACACAAAGCTCGCTGTCACCAGCCACACCACAAAAAAATAGGGACTTGGAAATTTAGAGGAGTCCAAATCCCCCTGACTGAAACTTAACAGCTCTGGAGGGGAGCCAGGGGGAAAGGAACAGCAGCCGAGACAGCAGAGAGCCCATAACCCAGAGAGACAGCATCATTCATGACATGAAGAGATGCTTGTAAAATTCCCCATCTGGCTTATTGTTTGCATTATAATTTTTCCAACTGCAACGTGAGTTAACTCTTGTGTTTAGGCTTTGATGGAGGACAGTTCTGGTCAATTCCAAATGGTGGGTGGAGTGATGTGTAAATCTAATAAAAATGCAAAAGCTTTAAAAAACAAAGTTCCTAACAATACTTCCTAACAAAAATATACAGGACACAGTAACCTAATAGATTAAGAAAACCACTGAAGTGGGGGGAACTCCAGGGATAACTAATTGCACCCATCTCTATGCCAAAAGTTCACATCCAAGTTATGATAAGCAGTAACAAAAATATCAGCCATTTGGCAGCCATGTAGTTTGGAAACTCAGTTCTTCTGTTGATGAACAAATGCCCACTTCTCAAAAAAACCCAGTGTCACCACCCTATGCCTGTTTTCGTACATGCTTTTATTTTGATGGTCATCATAAAAATAACATTTGCCAACAGTAACTAACACCATCACCCAAACAATTCCTCAGAAAGCTGGTATCTTATATGGGCATGAATAACCATGCATGCTAACAAGATGCAATCAGTGAGCACTGAAAGAAGTTTTTGCTTTTGGTAACAATCTCATAGGTTTTATTTCCCAATGGTCCTAAATATGGCAGTTTGTTTAAAAGGATTAAAAAAAAACCCCAAACCCAAACAAATTTGGTTTCAAGTTTCAAGTGACAGACATTCAGGTAAACCCACCTAGGCTGCCTATCTCCAAGCCAAAATGCATCTCATACTACTGCAAAACAAAACTTTTCCTGGTTTGCTCCAGTCCAGTTGAAATTCGTATTTGTTAGTTCTATGAAGACACTGGAGAACAACACTCCTAAGCCACTAAAAGGAGAAAGGAGTCTTAAGACCCAGCTCCCAGCAAAGCTTTCTCTCAGGATTAGGACACCTTGCATTAGCCAAGTGCTAGTTTCTTCAGTTCTCAGAAAATTTTGCTTATGTTTTTTGAAATTACAGTTCCATACTTGTTTGCTGTAACTACTTGTTTTTTGTAGTCACCTATTCTAAAGTGCCACTCCTTTGCTGCTTTGAAGAAACTCAAAAAAAAAAAAAAAAAAGGCTTACAAGCAGCAATATATATAAAACATGCTTACCTTAAATAAGGGACTGAAAACACCCACCTAATGTGCATGTCCTGCTCCTTACAACTTGGCAGAGTTAAATAGGTCACGCGAATGGGTCACACTGCAATGGCAAGGATCGCAGCGTGGCCAGCTGCCGTGCCTCAGTTAACAGGGCAGTATCTTTTACAGCGGTCTCAAAAGACACATGGTCAGAATTCAGTCCCTCTGGCAGCCCCTACAAGGCACTAACACGCAATTTTCTCAATACATTAAAGGGAGATGATATTGCCTTTCTCTGAGCGGTTACTTGCTGCAGTTGCAGAACTGGAATAGATGGAGGATAGGTCACTTGGTCAGCACGTCATTTCCTACAGCCCCAGAGGACCTGCAACTGTCTACTGCTGGCTCCTCTCGGTTTCAGTCCACATGAATACTAAATCAGAAGTCTTCTTCTGGGTTTTTTCCCCTCGTACACCCAGAGAAAGAGCAAGCTTACAGATTACAGTCTAAATTTATTTTGCAAATTTTATCTCTTTTTTAATCTAGAAAACTTTATAAATATATTTATAGATATCTATAAATATATTATCTATAAAACTACAATCCATAGATATCTATAAAATTTCACCTATGCTTTATCTATAAAATGACATAAACTCTAAACAGGCTGGTTACAGAAGACAAATGCTTCAGCGTGGTGACAGAGGACACAAACACAGGATACACTGATAGGTTAAACCCCAACCCTTTTCTGCTTGCCTACGCAGAGTCCTGACAGTTCCTCTTAGATCAGCACTATAAGCAACGCTGGTTACTTGTAAGTATTAGAAATGCAAGAATTATTAATGTAAATGTTTTGCTATACTGAATTTCAGAATCAAAAAGTTAACCAACACACCAAACATTACAAACTCTTGGGCAAAGCCAGCCACGAGCCAGCAAGAAGGGCCGGGGAGGAGCAGGGATGGACAAACATAGGTGTGGGGCACTGATTCCCTGAGAACTGAGTCAGAAGGATGCACGGGAAGGAAGGGGAAGCTGCTCCTGCTCTCACAACTGCATTTCAACACTGCCACCTTTTCATCCTTTCTGGTGTGTAACCTGACAGACTCACCACTACAAAATCACTTTGCCAGGACAACCACCTGCAGGTAATACAGAGAGAATGGGAGGCAGAGGGGTTACACCTTGATGAAGGTGGAAGGAGGGAGGAAGAAATAACGTGCTGCTCCCTTGTAACCTTTTGGGTTTTTTTCTGCTGTTTTTAAAAGACTGATAACCCATGTGTTACAAATATGAAAAACTGTTCACTGTATAGCATTAAGTCATTCTCCCCACACACAAAATGGAGCACAAAATCCTGAATCCTGTAAAAAAACACACCGAAATTGGCAGTTGTGCGGGACAGACACCCTGGAAAGCCACTGCAAATTCACACAGTAGCACTGCCAACACACAAGACAGTTCAAGCTAGTGAGAATCAAATGTTCACAGCAGGCAAATTCTCTCCATAGGATCTGCTGATCAGATGCAATGGCAAACAGCTTGAATTTGGCCCACTTCCATTCCTTTCATCTGCCACAATAGTATACGAAATATTCTCACTGTATTTGCGCTGCAAATCGGACCAGCGGCTTATCACTGTGGAACCATCATTTGTCAGATGTGCTACTGCATGGCCTGGATGAGATATACAGATAAACTCGGGTAAAACAAAAGCAAGCCAAGCTGTATGTCTGCACAGAACGCTGAATAAAATGCCAAGTGCGTGCCACTTCTGCAAGTTGGAGATATTATTAGTTGCCAGCAGCACTGCACTGTTTTGCAGGACAGCTGCAGACAAACAGGTGGCCTTTTTCATTTCTGGAATGCTGAAATTTTCCCTGTTCCAGAATAAATGGGAAGATTTCTAAATATACTTTTTTTTTTTCCAAACTGCTTTTGTGAGCAATTTCCAATACAGACTCTCAAAAGCCTTTCGTTTACTCTTTCAACGTTTCTTCCCAATTCCCTTATTTTTCCATCTTATATAAATAATTAGTGGTGATAATTTATTTATATAAAAGCAATGGATCTTGACTGATTCACAAGCAGATGGAAAGGAAACATTGAAATACCCAGTTCAAGTCCACCAGGAAAGAAGTTTTACGAGAAAGACTGGGGACTTTTCATATATATAAAAATATACACACACACACAGAGATATATAAGTTTTACTATTTATCCACTATGCTTTACTGTATATGTTTTGCTCTACATATATGTTTTACTGTTTATACAGTATGCTTTACTGTATATACAGTAAAACTACACTTCACAAAACACTGTCTTCTCTGGCAGATTCCAAACCTACTGCTTTGGAAGGAACTCGATCGTGGTCAGAACACAGTCACTTAGACATTTAGGATGCTTCAT